GCCGCAGCTTTGATATGCACGGAATAAACGCGATCTGTTGTAATTCGTGATACGCAAACTGCAGCAGAGACACCTTTAAATTGCTGCTGTCCGCGTCCAGTTTGCTGTCCGGGCAGGGAGGCGTGTCACGGATTTAAAAAAATAAAACCAAACAAACAAAACACCAAGGCACCTGCTTTATGGCGAGCTTAACAGCCAGAACCGTACGGTCCTGCCCACATCCGTGGGGCTGGGAAGGCACGGGAGGCAAGTGCACTTGGAGTTGTACATTCCTTTTCACATACGTCGGATCCCCTGGGGCTGCAGGCATGCCTTCGCTTTCTTCCGGGTTTCCTTTTCTTCCCCTTTGCTTCTGGCAGCCTGGAAAATCTCCATCTTCCGAGGAGCAGACAGCCTGTAAAACAACAGTTTTAATAACCTCATCCTGCTTTAAGATCTGTGTTTCCCTGTGTGTCCGTAGGAACTGTTTCCCTCCAGGAAAACGTGGACAGATGAACAGGGTCAGATGGAGCACCTCAAAGCACATTTCTATCTAGAACTGTCTATCTTGCACTTTGTCTCTCACACCGGTGCCCCCCTTTTCATTTCCTCGGTCTTGTTTTGCCCAGATTTGACTGCCCGGTGTTTGCAGGCATATCAGCTGGAAAAGCACAGAGTGTTGTGTGTCCAGAGCTGTTTACATAACAAACTAAAGAGCAGGTTCCTACTTCTCTCTTGCAGAGACGCTTGGAAGGCAAAACTATCGTCACTATTTTTACTTGCCTGGTGAGAGTTGAATTTGATAGGGAACAAATGCATTAATTAGCTGGTGAGTTTGGATTGATCCTCTGATTCATGCTGTGGATACAGGGTAGTCTAAATATAGCAAGCATTTCATGTTCTCTTCTCAAGCTGACAGAAGTGAAAGCGAGCGTGGGTTTTGCTAATTGACAGGTTTTTAGTTTGGGCCTGCTGTGCTTCACAGAAGGAAGTTAACCTGCTGCTGTGCAGGTCAAGGATAGCATGAAAGAAAAAGCAGCTCCAGGAAGTAAACCAGGTTTTAAACACCTGTAAGTACGCTAAAATAAGGGTGTGATATTGCAATCACCCTGCAGTGAAATGGAAAATCCAAAGATTTCAAGTAGTTCCATATTCAGCCGGTGCAAAAGCAGTGATCTCCAGAACATTCAGCCTTTTATCAAGCCAACAGTTAACCTCTAAGTGCTAAGTAAAGAAACCTTTCCTCTTTTCATGCAACCTAAGAATTGCATGAAAGATAAGCCCACAGCATCTGAAGCAACATGCTTTGAGCTGGGAACAACATGTTTATTGAAGGCCTTCTGAAAGCTCTGTCACTGCCATTTTCTACCAAAAGAACCCATTACTAATTTACCTTTGATTGCATGCTTTTTGTGAGACACAGACTTTTATCTAGCAACTTAAAAACATAGTTTTAACAAATATTTCAGAGGTAGAGATGCAGTTGTGATTGGCTTGGGCAGAGGACAACAGCAAGGCACTCCAGCCCAGAATTAAAGTGTCTCTGGGGTACAAGTGTTGCTCTTTGCTGCTCAATTACATCAGATCACCTAATATTTTCTTCATCATCATCATCATCATTATTATTATTAATTCACAATAAGCCTGGGTATATTTAGATCTTTTGTTGTCATATAACACTTCTCACTCATAATTTTGCCTTTAACAAACTTTTAAGTAATTAAGTTAGAAATTCCTCACTGGGCTTATATCTTTAGTGTGGTTAGTTACAGTAGTTACAGTGATCTGTGTAGTCCAGTTTGAATTACTCCATTGCAAGCCCATGTAATTATTACAAACTGCATCCTTGGACTTGGGTGATGTTGGGTGTTACTCTACAAAAGATCACATAATCCAATCTTTCTGCACTTTTCAGCATGCTAGGTGAGTCATCATTAGCGATTTTTTGTCTGTGCTGAGCCAAGTGGTGTGTTTGAATTTATCTGGGCTGGAAAAGAGATATGAGAAGCCAGTAGAAGATCTTGTCTGCCTGTGTTAGCCCATTTCAGGGTTAGGTGGCAGAGAGCTTCACGCCAGACAAAACAGCAAATAGCTGCATGGGATTTTTTGAAGGGGAAGTTTGTGTGTACAGTTGTGGATGTCGATGGATACACTCTTAGTAATCATTATCAGAATTTTTTTAAAAATCACAATTAACTTAACAGCTCTGTTAAAAAGTATTATTCAGGATCTCCACAAATGTGACAGAAACAAATATCACATGCAGATAAAAAATTAAAAATCTAAGCATATATATTTTTCCTCCCTTTCCCCTGGGAGTCACAGTGCAGGTATCTCGGCTGGGGTTTGCAGACCATGCGTGATAAGCTCATTTTCTCAACCTTATCTCATACTTTAACATATTCATATTTTAGTACTGTCGTCACTCCCATTTGCTCTTTCTCCACCCCTGTGGAAGCTCGGGCTGTCGCTCTGCAGGGGCAGCAGAAGCGCCTCCCTGGCTGTGTGCGCAGAGCTGGGCTGGATGTGGGATAGTTTCCCGGTGAGTCACGCACATCCCGCTGCAGTGATTCCCAGGGCGTGCTGCGCTCCGCACGCTTAGCGGGCTCTCAGGGTGACATTGTTTCCTGAATGATGCAACTGAAAATTCCCTTTCCCGTGCTGCTTGTTTCCTGATCGCTTCTCCCTCATTCTCTAAGGCATTCCAGCAGCTGCGCACCTTTTGCTCGCCGTCCCTTTTCCCCGGCGAATCTCTGCGAAGACAAGTGATGTCCACAGCTACCCTAATTAGCTTGGTACGGAGCGGAGGGTTCCAGGTGAGAAGGAGAGCCGCGCTCACGTCCCGGCTGCTGCAGGACGAGAAGCGCCCCGCAGCCGCCTGCTCCATCTCCACCTGCGAGCGCCGCGCCTCCCGCTTCGACCCCGACGGCAGCGGGCGGCCCACCACATGGGACACCTTCGGCATCTGGGACAACCGCATCGATGAACCCATTCTCCTCCCACCCAGCATAAAGTACGGCAAGCCCATCCCAAAGGTGAGCCTGAGCAACGTGGGCTGCGCCAGCCACATCGGGAAGCGAAAGGAAAATGAGGACCGCTTCGATTACGCTCAGCTGACAGAGGATATCCTGTACTTCGCGGTGTACGATGGGCACGGCGGGGCGGCAGCTGCCGACTTCTGTCATAAGTACATGGAAAAATATATTAAGTAAGTGCTCATCAAGGCAATGTGTGTCAAATAAATTATAGCCGAGATTCCTTCTTTAATGGGTTGTACATTGTAGCTAAAACTCCCAGGTTATGTATCTGCCTGTCCTTATGGGACAGCAGGAGCTCTGGGTGGAACAGACATGTGATGAATGACTTAATGCGTTGGTACCGGCCCCACTGGGCAAGCCCAAAACTGCAGGAGACAAAAGCACAATTGTGCCCCCTGTCCGGGAAAGGTCTTGGAACACAGGGAGAGTGTGGACTAACTGTTTTCACACAGGCTCTCTGTAATTGCTGACCTGAGGTTTGCTTACACTCTTCTGTATCTATCATATCCCTGGGTGCTGGATCTTAGATATTTCCAAAATTAGAGGATTATGCTTTCAGTGCACACAGTTAGTAAAATCACATTACCTTTCCACTCAGGTCCGGCATGATTCACTGGGTGCAGGGAGGAGATAAGACTGTGAAACAGATTGATCAGGATGTATATTTCTTGGAAAGAAGTTTAATTTCTGTGTTTACTTGCTTGCTTGCAGGGAATTTCTTGCTGAGGAGGAGAACTTGGAAAATGTTTTGAGCAAAGCTTTTCTAGAAATAGACAAAGCATATGCAAGGCATGCTAATGTCTCTGCTGATGGTAGGTAAAAAAAATTCTACTCATATAAATGTGGAGAATAAAATTTATTTGCTCAGTAGTTTTGCAGTAAAATGTCCAGAAGACTGGCTTGAAAACAATTTTACTTAACACAGGATTTTGCTCTGGTCACTTACTGCAAATAAAACAATTATGCTTTATCTCCTACAAATGAAATAACTACTGTAAGTCTCAGTCAAATTTACTGGAGGAGTTATGAATCTGAATGTTAGCATAATCATCAATGAATTTCTCTTAATGTGATTCTAAAAAGGATTATGTTTTTCAAGGTAGCAAAGAGTGATTTAGATTTGCAAAGACCATAATTTTACTGGTAAGAAATGTGGAGAGGGGTGGTTTTGATTCTCTTTTTTTAAAAATTATTTTATGAGTGTGGAGGTGGGTGCTTTTATATGTTTGCTTTAAAGCTGTGAGTCCCGTGGATTAAAAGCAACAGTGTCAAAGTTCCCCTTCCTAACTTGGCTGCTGCACCTGAGGAGGAACATAAGCCAAAATTAATGCAACCCATATTGCTTCTGTACAAACAGAATCACAGGAGTAGCTGAGTGGGGAAGGGAAAAAAGCAGTGAAGAGGAAAACAAGTTTGGCCGTGGTAAGGCTGTGGTAAAGCTGGTACCAGCTCTTTTAGACTCCCATTTAATCCTGGCTGTTAATGAAGTTCTCGCACATGTGTCTAGAGACTAAATACCTCTGAACTTCCAGTTGCAGCAAGCAGAGCTTATAGGGAGTAACATAGGAAGGGAGATAGAAATCCCTGCCCCAGTTCTGTCACAGGAGCTTTCTCAGCTATGAGATACAATTTTGAGAGTCAGTTTAGCCAGTTTTAAAAAGAAAACCCCAAACAAACCCAATTAAAAAAACAAACAAACACGTACCCACAACAGAAAAAACCCAAACAAAATCCCCCACAAACAACCAAACAAAAAACCTGTCCCCATGCTCGTGCAGGCACAGGCAGAATAGCTGAGGTTTTACCACAAGAACAGAAACTGTAAAAGTCTTCTCTCCAAGAAAGACTGGAAACCAAGAAACCCTGTGTGGACTGAAGTGATACTGGATTCTCAAGCTGCTTTTCTGAAGCACTGGTTGAGTACAATCAAGTAATGGAGTGGCTCTCTGCACTTTAATTACTAGATGAATCTATGTAGGCTCAAATGCAGATCAGGTAGCCTGACTGCTGCAGCACTGCCTCTTACCTTAGCCTGCACCAAGGACCAGGAAAAAAGTCTCAAGCTCTGAGATGCAGCCCTTAAAAAAGGACTGCATCTCAGTCCTTACTATATTTTTAAAATTTTATTATTATTTAGTATTTTATATTTAGCATTATAGTATTACTATAAATGTAATTTTCCCATTGCATTTCATGTTGTAAAAAAGACCAGAGTTACTTTTGACCTATGAGCTGAGTTTTAGCTGAGCTCTTGAGAGACATCAGCAGAGCAGATGTGCTTTTTATCCCACAGCCTCTTCGCAAATGTGTTTTCTTACCAATCCAAATCCAAGACATATTTGAGTACAAGTTTGTGTGCTTTCCTAGATCAGGCCATTCCATTTTCAGATCTAATTGTCCTCTGCCCTGCCCCTTTGTGTGTAAGACAGCTCTTGGTTTGGCTCATTGCAGTGACCTCTGTGTCAGAGCAGCTTCTTGAGGAGAAGGATTGAGAACTGTACTGGATGTATTACTCTGTTTTTTCTGAAAACTATTTCAAATCATAATCACTATTTCAAATCACTTTGTAGGTGAGGCTTACAGAATTGGATAAGAACAATATTTGACAAAGTGTGCAGCATTTTAGAACTGCTTGTAGGATTTTTTTCATAACCAATTAACTGGTGCTGCTTAATGCCAGAAAACGTATGCGATGGTTACCAGGATACTGCACAAGCCCCCTTCATTAAAAAAGCAAAACAGAGGGTAAAAGAGTTGCCAAACATCCACAGGGGCCACGCTCTGGCAGGCACTCAGTGTTTCTCAGCCTGAGCACCTGCAAGCTCTTGCAGGAACATCAGGGATCTAAGAGAGCCCATTGTTCTTGGCTGAAAATCAAGCTCTAAGGCAAAGAATGGAGTAACAGAGTGCAAAGTCAAGTTTGGATTTCTGAACAGATTAAACTTGTCACATATCTGTTGTTAAAGTGACTCAATACTTTGTTGACTGCTTTGTGTGGATATTTCTGTTGTTGCTGATGTTTTGAAAGTTACATAAAATTTCGGTGCTTGGCATGTGTCTGTTAGAATCCTGCTTCCAAACTGATTCAGTTTGCCAGCAAAATTTCTGATTAAGTGTGGCTATTCTGGATGTGACAGTCAATACAGTTGCTAGAGTGTCTTGAAGTTGGTGGTTGATTGTGTAACTTGGTGTATCTGGGTTACACTGGAAGCTCCCCAAGACTGACTCCTTTTGAAACCTGGCCATAGCTGAGGAAGTGCAAAATAATAGCTTTGACTTGTTCCAGCAGATGACCCTTCCAGGCCTCACTCCTTTCACTGTGTCTGCAAAAATAACAGTGCACATTAAGGATGTCCAGCTCTTTACTAACACACAGCCAGCTCTAAAACTTGTACCTGGGTGTTTGAAGGAAACTAAATCCTGGGACAAATCCCTGTAGCCAAAATGGCATGTTTGAGGCATTGTTTATAGTACTGTTTTAAGGAGTAAGACCTTACATAAGGCATAAATTTAACAGGACTAGAGGCGTTCCTTGTTGGGGGACCCCAGCTGTGTCTTCAAGGGCACGGCCCTCTGTAGGTCACTTAACAATGATACAGTATTTGAAATTATAGATAGAAAATGCATAGCATGGTAGCTTCTGTGAGCTTTCAATAATAAAAATGGTTTATGTATGTGTTCCAGGCACTGCTCTGTGTCTGGCATGCAGTTCACCAGTGCTATTGCCAGCTGTATTGGCCTGCTGGGGCTTGCTCCAGTAACCCCTCTGACAGTGACCTATACCTGCTGTTTCACACAAAAGCATAAGAAACTTGCTGTAGGCAGGTCTGAGATAATCTCTGCTCTGCCTGAATCCTGTGTAATCATTGACAGCTTAGAGCCCTGAAGCTTGGTGTTTGATACCTCTTCAAAAATGTATTTTCATTCACATCCATGCATTTAAATACAGGCCAGTCACTTTCAAATCACTGCTAAAGTTAGGTATAGAACATAAAGGAAGCTCACATCCAACAAATGACATTGTCCATGGCCCCAGAGACGGGCAGAATTTTCTGCTATTTCTTACCAGCCATAAAAACTAAAACGTAAAGGCTGAAAAGCTTTGCTCAGCAAAGATAGAAATAAGAAATTAAATTCTGTGCTTGAGGAAATTTGAGCATTTCCCTGAACAAATGTGAGACAAACCTTTTCTTGGCCTACTGGAATCCTACCAGGTATTGTTACTGCTTCTGTTCACTGTGAGCCAGAGAAAACAAGAGGGAGTTTGTCCATCAACCTCCACATTCAGTGCATCCAACTCTAATCACATTGGCCACTCACATCTGGAATAGCCATCTTGTTAAAACATAACCAGGTATTAACTTGTCTACCCATGTTTGAAAGCATTCTTACAGTTGAATCTTATTATGCTGACAAACAGCTGAAGTTATTTTAAAGTAATTCTATTTTTAAAGTAATGTTTGTTTTGTTGGGCTTTTTTAAAGTTACCGTTCAAAAATTATTTTAATTTCTTTAAATATGTTAACCTGCAACACTGAGGGAAAGGGAGAGCTGCAGAAATTGGACTTGAGTATTTAATAAATTTATCAACATTGTAAAGGCAGCCTTTTTATCCAAGGGCTCTGATTATAACCTGATCAATTTAGAAGATACTAATTACAATATTAAAGGTATGTTTGTTTTGGCTATTTCCCATTAGTCAGAACAATTCATAAACTTCTATCCAGTGCCTTTAAGATGGCCCCATTTCATTTGACACTGATTTGAACTCCCCATATTGGTGTAATTACCTTGAGGGAGCAGATGTTCTTCAGTGGCCACTCTTGCCATTTATGAGACAGCTGGTCCTCTAGCATTGATAAAATTCTTCATTTGATAGGTTGGTTGGTTACTTATCTCCATCGGGGAAACTAAATTTAGATTTTATTTGGGCTGAATTTAAACTGGTTTTGTCACAGAGTTTTAGTGAGAAGGTGAGAACACTGGCCAGTATTTCCCCAGAAATACCAAGGCTGATTTACCAAGGCCAAAGATGCAGGTGCTTCCTACGTGACCTGCACAGGGCAGTGCAGGCAGACCTGAGAGTGACTGACTCCACCTCCTGTTCTGCAGCCCTTATTCTCACATCTCCAGTGTTGCAGGTTTATTTTGTTTGAACAAAGTCCCTGGGTGAATTTCCTATTTGCCTCTGTGTGCGTGTTATTTGTGGCAGACACTGTACCTGGTCAGCAGCTCTAGAACTGGAGGCCCTGGACACTTTAAGCTGGGCTTCAGTGGAAAAAGAGATCTGCTTAATTTTGTCCCAGGTGAAGGAGTCCAGCGGTTCCTAGCCTGGACTACTGGAAGGTTTCCACATCCTCTTTGTCACATTAGTTGAGATGACTTGCAGTAGAAGTTGTCCAGTGAGTGTTAAGAACCTATTGAAAGATCTTAGTTTTATAGTGATATTGTTAGGAAAACAAACTCTTTAATTGTTAAAACCAATACATGTGCTGATGCAACGTATTTTGTGTTAAACTAGTAGCAGTTGTAGAAAAGCATTAGAAATGCAATCCCATCATCATTCCTGTGGTTTTGGGCTGTGCTAGAAATCACATAATGCTACATCTGGCTTCATGCATGTTCTTGCATCCCTCCTCAGAGCATGAACTGGATCCAAGGAAGAGATTGTGAGCAGCATGTATTTTTTCCTAGGAGTGCTATTTAACTAATAAAGTTCAAGTCACTATGTTCATTACCACAATTCTGGACAATATATTTTTCTTTAGTACCAGCCCCTGATTTTGTGATAGCAGCTCTTGTCATTGGGAGTTTGCTCTGAAAAGATGCAGATCCACCTGAATTCCAAATATTTCCAGTCTTCTGTGAATTGAAGAATGTGATTTAACTTTTCATATGTTTCTCAGCATAGTTCTAAAACCACAGAATGAAATGGGAAAGTAGCAGCAGTTCTGCATTAATTTTAATGTCTATATAAAAGGTATCTTCTGTAAAATAAACAGGTAGTTTAACATAGGTTGCTCTATTTCACTTGTTCTAACTGTTGGCTAAAACAGGTATTTTACTGGTTCTACTAAAATTTCTAATTGCACTGATACTTTTTAATATCTTATTTTCATAATGTGCCTCAAAGTGACCCTGCACTGGGCTAGTTCTTGCTTCAGATGTGTCCTGGTTTAGGGCAAATTTGTTAAAGAATCTGCAAAGGAGGGCCCCTCCAGAAAGCAAACCCACACGGCCCCTCCCCCCAACCGGTTTGGGAAGGATTCCTTGGAGAGAGGTGGAAAGAACCTGTTTATTTCAGGCACAGCACCCCCCAGCACACAAAATGAACAATACCCGATGACACCGCTCTGAGAAAGATGGCAAAATCAGAAAGTCTCTTTCGGGGGTGGTTGCTCTGTTCTCAGTCCCTCCGGCGCTGGGCCAGCTGCTGCAGCCAAACGTGCAAACCCTCAGTGTTCCCAGGTCCTAGTCCAGAGCAGGTTTGAGATGGTCACAGAAAAGGAGAGGAGAAACAGTCCAGGGAGGAATGTGGACTGTTTAGCTAGAACTAGCTAATAAGCAGAAGCCACAGCAGAGCAGAAGCAAGAGCAGAAAAAGAGCAAGCAAAGCAGCAAGCCAAAAGCAAAAAGTGAAAACAGCCCTATGTACCGCTCGTCTCTGTGTCCCTGATAAGAGAAACCCAAACAAAACTTCCACTCTTCAGAGCCAGTCTTAAAGGCACAGAACAGATGAATGGGGATACAAGCATCATAATGTCATGCCAGGACAAGATGAGAAGCAGGATGTCAGTGCCCACCAGTGCCACCAGTCAGAAGCTGCCACATCCAGTTTCCAGTGTCCCAGCCTGCGTGGCCCTGGCACAGCCCATGGCCACTGACGGTCAGCCCTGACCTGCTGGTTCAGCGTTCAGCTAAACCCAGTCCTGGCAGCAGTAATAATACCTGTTTTAAATACTAACACCAGCTTAATTAACACCTGTTTGTGAGGGTTTGTGTTTGGGCTTTTTTGATTCATGGACTTGCTGCTTTCACTGCACAACAAGGCTCAATGCATCTTCCAGGGCTTGGTGACTTCAGTTTGCTCCTAGCCCCGTTTGACTTACAGGGTGCTGAGACCTCACAGGGCTGGGGAAGGAGGCTGTAAAGATCTCACAGATACCTGTTGGCATCTGGTCAGATTTGGGGCTGCCTGGCATTCCTTGGGGTCAAACACAAAGTCTTGTCTCAAATCTGTCCCATGTCCCCAGGGCTGCAGGACCAGATGTAGGAGCACATGTAGTTGTAGCTGATCTCTGCAGAAGCAGTGGTGGAAAGACAATGAAATGTTAACTGTTAGCACATGAAAGCAAGAATATAACTGGGGAGTCACATTCCTTAGCAAGCCCAAATCTCATCTCAAATGCTTGCTTTGAAAAACCAGAACAACTGGAAAAGCCCAGAAAGCAGGTGACCTACAGCGGCCCTTTCAAAGGAAATTGCATTGGCTATAGATGCAAATGTATTCCAGGCAGTAGCTGGTCCTGTCCAGATATTTAGGTGTAATAGCTCAAGTTAGCAGGAGCTTTCCAGGCCTCTCTTCCTGGGTTACCTCTGCAGAATCTGCAGGAAGAGAAGATAACAACTGTAAAGTGGGACTTGGCCTTTCAAAAAGCAAAGAAAATGAGGCAAGCTGGGCATTTTTTCTGGCATTTCTTCACTGCAGATGATACAACAGATCTTTTTCCTAAAATAGGCACTTGCATTTCTCTTTTCCAAGAGTTTCCTTCTTCTTTTTTTTTCTTTTTTGCTCCAGACCATTGTAGCAACTGAAGTGAGAAGCCCTCAAATCTGCTTGCATGAGTGAATCCAGGCAGGTCCCTGGGTGCAGTCAGCCAGCCCAGCTCCCTCCCTTGCCCTGTAGAGGAGGGCAGCACCAGGGCTCTGTTTTGCCCTCTGGGCACTCACAGTGACCCCTGTCAGGTGATCCCAGCAGTGCCCCAGAGATTCCCAGACAGCCACTGCCACCTGCACCAGTCTGGAGGCACAAGGCAAGGCTGAATCCCAGAATGCAGCTTCACCTTTGCGCTGGGACCTCCAACAAGTTCACAGGGAGCACCTTTCCCGGAAAAAGCCAGGAAGCCTGTTGGCTGAATCCCCCTCTGGGGCAAGCAGAGGGGGAGTAACAGCTCTGACAGTGACAGAAGGATGCCACAGACTGATCTACTGCTTCCCTCTGGTGGAGTTACAATTACTGTAACTATAATTTATCAATTACTGTAACTATAATTTTTCAATTACTATATAATTGCCTGCTTCACCACCTAAAAGAAAGAAAGAGCCATCAGCTTTATGGTGACCTACTTGTGCAGTCACTGTGCCCAGAGATAAGGACAATAACCCTGTAACTTGAGGTGAGCTCATGGGGCTGGAAAACTGCTACAAACTGAAAGGAAGCTACTGTACCTTGTACTGCTTTTATCCCACTTGCCCTGTTTGCATGGAGCCATGTTGTTGCACAGAAACACAGAAACATTTCATCCTTCCCACCTCCCCTCTCTTCCTCTCCACTCCTACATGCATGCATGTTTGCTTTTTTTTTTGTGTATGTGTAAATTTAGTTTTAACTTCAAAGCAGTTACTTGCTGATTAGGTAGAGCACAAGTTATCTTTATTTTACCAATTGAAACTGTTGCTATTATAAAGGACTCCACTCTTTGAGGCAGTGCTAAAACTTCTCTCTTTGATGACATTTGTAGCAACTCTGCTGAGCTCTGGGACTACTGCAACAGTGGCTCTGCTCCGGGATGGAATTGAGCTGGTTGTGGCAAGCGTGGGAGACAGTCGTGCTCTGCTGTGCCGGAAAGGAAAGCCCGTGAAACTCACCACTGACCACACTCCAGAGAGAAAGGAGGAGAAGGAAAGGTACCTGCAGGCTGATGATGTGGCTTCCTGAGCACAATGGACAGCAGAAGTCCAACTGCTGCTGGGTTGGGCCATAAAGAAAGAAGAGTTGGACACAGAGCCCTTAGACCACTCTGAGCTGGCAGTAAGCTCCAGCCACTGGGTCCCGTTTAGAGGACCAGGGATGTGGAAAGACCTCCATGAGCATAAGATCTCAGCAGTAAGATCAGCATCACTAAGATTCAGAACAGAGCTATGACCACAAGGTTCAGACTTGTGCAAAAGTGCCAAGTTAGAACCAGCTCAGAACCTGAGGAAATGCACTGTGATTCCCAGGTCAGGACTCAGCCCACCAAGACACATCACTTCCATAGAGCCCTTCAAACAGATAAAGCCAACCCTCAGCCACCAGCACAGGCTCTCCATACATCATTCCTCATTCTAGCTACTGACAGAAATAGAGGATAGGGATAGGGGTAATGGTATGAAGCAGTAACTCATTTGCTTTTTCTTTTGTGCTTCTGGACAGGATTAAGAAGTGTGGTGGCTTCATTTCCTGGAACAGTTTGGGACAGCCTCACGTGAATGGTAGACTTGCAATGACACGGAGCATAGGAGATTTGGATCTTAAAAACAGTGGTGTGATAGCCCAGCCAGAAACAAAAAGGGTTCAGGTAAAAGGAGGTCTGGTTTACAGGGACAGCAGCACTTGGACTAAGGGCTTCATAGGTATTTGATGCAGTGGTGCTACCCACACAACACAAGCCCAGATGAAGTCTGATGGCCACACATTGTTTTTTACTGAAATAACCAGAGAACAACTCTCGTTAAGTTGTTTCAGATTAACACTAACAGGACAGAAAGGAATCTGGTACTAAATTCAACCAGATCAACTTCTAAATCTCACTTCTCACAGCAAAATATATGACGAGGGAAGAAAGATAACACATGATATGTATTACAGCTGTTAGTCTGTTTGGGTCCTGTGGTCAAATGAATAATTTTGAGGCTAATGCTGGTATAAAACCATCACTGAGAACTGGGTGGGATATGGATGGGCTGCCATCAAAAAAGTAGGATGTAGAGAGATTTGCACAGTTGAGAGGAAGAGGGGGAGGAGGAAAGGACAGCTGCATGTATCTTACCATAGCTCTGTAGTCATTTAGAAAACAAACACTCAGAAGGTATTCAGCCTCCACTTTGGCAGGAAGCTCTCCTGTCAATTCATATTCTATTTGTTACTTTTCCTCTATGCACCTCCCAGGGCCCCAAGAACTTCCATTGGTTTGGTCCCAATAGAGTGCCACCCACAAGGGGTTTAGGGAGATGACTGAAGTGTTATCATGTCTTCCTTGAAACCCTCAGCTTCAGGAGACATTTTGCAGGAGAGCACACAGCACCCCAAGAAAATAAAAAAGTGCTTGGCAAGAGGGTTAAATCATGGGGGCCATTGCCTTGCCCTGCAGCACTCACCCAGGTCATGCACCCCCATGTGCCTCTGTTGCAGCTGCAGCACGCAGACGACAGCTTCCTGGTGCTGACCACCGACGGCATCAACTTCATAGTGAACAGCCAGGAGATCTGCAACTTCATCAGCCAGTGCCATGACCCTGCTGAGGCTGCCCACGTGGTCACTGAGCAGGTAATGCCAGCGCTGCTCTGGCCACCAAGGGCTCCTGCTTGGGCTGGTTTGGCTTAAAAACACAAGGGTTTTGTTTACATAATACCACAAATTCAACTGAATTGAATGGTGCTGGCCGATACATTCACCATTCCTGCTGGCCAGCCTTTTCCTTACCCTGGGTCTTGCCACATCCTTGCCAGGCATCATTCAATGAGCTTGTTTAGCCCACTGTCCACTGAACTGCACGGGATTGTAACTGCAGCTTCTGCCTGTGCTGAAAATGTCACTGTCACAGACAGAAATGGCCAGTTTCTGACCATGGTTCTGGATGGTAGCATATCCTATGGGAAGCTCTAGGGCATATCAGAATGGAGGATGAGGGCTGGGAAGGGGCAAGGGAGTCTCTGGCCTCAGAGTGTGCTGTCCCAGGTGAAGCCAGACCCTTGTTTCCCTTTCCAAGCGAGACCCCGATGCTGACACTTTGTTTCTGCTCTCAGGCAGTGCAGTTTGGCACTGAAGACAACAGCACAGTTGTCATAGTGCCATTTGGAGCTTGGGGCAAGTACAAGAACGGGGACATTACCTTCTCCTTCAGCCGCAGCTTCGCTTCCAGCGGGAGGTGGGCGTGAAGACAAGGACACAGCGATCCCTTCCTGCCGTCACCTGGACACAGCGTGCTACAGGAGAACACCTCCATCTGTTCCTAGGCTGACTCAGTGTCTTGTCCATCTCTTCTGTTCCCAGTGTTAGAAGATGCCACTGCTCCCTTGGTGCGTAGTGCCCGTTGTTGCTTACAGCTGACTGTGTCTCGCTGCCCGTTATTCCCGGCGGCATCGCGGCAGCGTCCTGGGTTTGTCGCCCCAGCAGCTCCACACATCACTTTGTTCACACAGACGAGGTTCTGGGCTTTCACCTGAGGCTGGAGGGGGTGCACAGTCACTTCATGCCTACCTGTACTCCTCAGGACCCTCAGCTCCCTGGCAGCTGGGTCCCTGAGCCACATGCTGGATTCCTTGTCCGATAAAACATGGGGGAACAAACGCACAATGTTCTTAGGTAGACAGAAAGAGGGTTTGTTTTCTTCTTCTGCTGCAGCCACCTGAAACTCCCCCGTGCTCCAGGAGAAGTGGGTGAAAAATAAAGGAGAAGTTTTAGAATATTTAGGTTCTGATGCCAGTGGCATTTGGTGTAGCTGTACAAGTTCCTGAGACAGTGCTGCTTTGTGCTCTCGCTGCCAGCATCTGTGATCCTCTAGCTCCAAGGAGACAGACCAGGCTGGAGCCATGTGCTGTTGGACAGATGGGAACCTTTCTCCATTGGGTCCAAAGCCTGTGCAGTCTCTGTGGACCATGCAGCAGCCCCTTGCACTGTCTTCTCTTTGCTGTCAGTGCCTGACAGAAGCACAGAGGAGGGAAAAAGACGCACAGTTTTGATATCCAGAGACTCGTCAACTTGAATTTCTTTTTTTTTTTTTTTAATAAAGAAAATAAGCTAATTTCAAAGAGTTTACTCTTCAAGATCTGATGCTTAACACAGTTTATTTCTTCATACATACATGAGGATTTTCCTGCCCTCTGCTGAAGTTGTCTGAGTTAGTTGTGATCTCTCATGTCTCTTCATGGTACACAAGGAGGTATAAATTGCCCCAAACTAGCTAAAGAAAGGAGAGAGCACTGTAACAACGTAAGGTAATTTTTGTAAGTTTTGGGTGTTGTTTCTAGTAGATATCAGATATTCTCAGATACCAGAAAGGAATATTATCCTTAAAGGAAGCGTTTCCACTTCCCTTCTTGGAGGGGAATCTGTATCCAGTGAACATGGGGGGAGGACCAGAGCTCTGATCCAGCTCATATCACTGCTGTGACATGGACTACAGCTGACATGTTGGCACAGTTGAAGATCTGTCCTGGTGTGCCTCATTCAGACCTTTTCCTTCCTCTACTCCATGTCAGCTGTCAGCTCCTGTGGCAGTGAAATATGGGCAGAGAAGAATTGGTCTTTTCTCAGACTTGCCACAGTATTTTTCCTTCTATGGATGCTTCCAATAGCACAATGGTAAAAACAAAACAAAATGAAAGAGAAGTTGCCTGATGCTAAATCACCTTGTAAAAAAAAGAAAAAGAATTCTGAGGTGCCTGGACTGATTCTGATTTTCCATTGTGAAGTACATATCTTTATTACTTTTATCCCTTTCCTTTAGTCCAGGGTTAGCCCTTAGGCAGTCAGTCCGTTAGTTTCTCCTTGTCTGTGGTGGAAGGCCCAGCAGCACCAGCACCAGCGTGTGGCACTGACAGCATTAAGTGCTGGGTGTGCAGAGTGCCCTGGGTTTGTCTGTGCCATCACATGGTGTGGTGAGCACATGCACTTCTTTGGGTTGTGACTGCAGTGCTGTGTGTAAACCTCTGCTGTACTGGGTGCTGGTGCCCAGGCCTAAGCACACCACTGGTTTACAATCCTAATTCCCTCTCTCTCCTCAGATTTTCCCCAGAGTCTGGGTTCAGTGTTCACCTGAGGTCAGGATAGTTGCTGTTGGGGGTTTTTATTTCTCCTAACAGCACAGTTGTCTTCTTGGGGGAAGTATCCATCCATAACTTCTATGAAATTTTACCAAGGAAGGGATAGGACAAAGCTCTGTGAAGCAGAGGATGATTAGATTCTGGTGCATTGGTGGTTGCTATTGCTGCTTCTCTACTATCACAGAAACACTTGGATTGGGAAGGACTCCCGGGCACCATCTCACCTCCAGTCCTTTCTATTGGATCCATTGCTTTGTCCAGTTTCTTTTCCACTCCTGGGGCAATTCCTGTGATTCCTGCTGTTGTCTGAGCCCTGCCCCAAGCCCAGCCCTCTCAGAGCACTGGACTGAGGCTCGGTAGGCACAGCCAGGCCCCAGTGCGGGGCAAAAGCTGCTGGTTTTCACTGGGGTGGGCAAGGCACCCCTCCATCAGGTGGCACACCGGTTTGCCAGGGTTGGAGCCCATTCAGGTGTAAAGTCCCAGGCTCTGGGTGGTGATACCTGTGCTAGGAACCTGCCCAAATCCTTGCACACACCCTGCCAGCCAGGGAACAGCTGCCTCAGGGTGCATTTCAGTGTTGCCTCACCCAGAAATCTTCTCTTGTACCATGATGACACCAGATTCCACCAACCCCATGATGTGCCAACAGTGTCAGGAGCATTAGCAGCTCATGTAAGCATGAACAAGGACCCCTGGACCCTGCACAATCATCCACACCAATCCAGAGCGAGGAGAGGGAGATGTATTCCCTCATCCTCTTGTGGAGACAAGGCAGTTCCTGCAGCTCAGCAAGGCCATCCATGCCAGGACACAGCCCAGAGCCATTGTTTGTACAAACACATTCCAGCTTCAGCCTTATAGAGGATAAGCAGTACAGCCAGCAAACTCCCTGACTCCCACAGGAGGCTGTGGCTGCTGCAGCAATAACACACTGCATACAAAGCTGCCATTGTCTGTGCCCCGTGTTTAGTGCCAAAAAGGACCAAGGAAGATGAACCTTGGCTGAACGTCAGCTGCCCAAGCTGCTCTTATCACTCACCTTCTCAGAAGAGTGGGGGCTAGGGGCAGAAAATAAAATGAAAAGACCCCAAAACCTGGTCAAGATAAAGATAATTAATAAAGAGTGTTACCAGCCCCTTTCTGGGTGCCAATACACTGCCCAGCATTGTGAGGACGCTGTGGGGAGAGGAGCTCCATCCCAGCCAGGCTCAATAAACACTTCAGGTTTTCCATCTGGTCACTGGGCCCCCTGCAGCCCATGGCAGCTCTGCAAGCAACAGCTCCACTGTACCCCCAGGGACTGGCAGGATCCTTCTGCACAGCAGAGCTCCTTCGGCTTGAGGACAGAGAGCAAATTGTTCTAAAACCACAGCTGCCTGCCAGAGAGGTTTATTATTCCAGGACCGTGAAGGATCTCACACTTTGAATGAAACAAAATGGAATGTTTGCTCTCTAGCTCACTGTCTTTGTTGTGCATCTGAGGTTACAACAAAAAGAGTATTTTTTGTTTATGACAGACTGAACCAAACATTAGGGGTGATCTCCTGGGCAAGCTGTAAAAAATGTTCACTTTTTTCTTCTTTTTAGGGGATGGATTCTGAAATCCAATGGATTTGGTATGAATATTTTCCTGCCTGAACATGGTCCCTGGAGCAGTGGAATCTCTCTCTGTACAGGCATTGTAGGAGGGTGGGCTGTGGGTGCAGAAAGGCAAAAATGCTGTCCAGCTAAGTATTCATTTTTACTGTGAGGATATGGAAGGCATGGGGGTGGCCTCATGTTGCTGGATTTACCAGGAGAGGTGTTGAGGCTGCAGATGGATTTCCAACTTCACTCTCCCCGCCACTTGCAAAGATGGGGGTTTCATGCTTTATAGAGGGAACTCCCAAAAAAGTCATTTGCAGCCTGGATTTAGGAGAGCTGGTCTCTCTGGATGATGAACGTAGCACAGGAGACTGAAATGGGGCAGAGATACAGTAATTAATTGAATATAGGCCTTCATTACAGTTAGTCCCTTTGGGCTGAAATGCTTAGGGCTGGAGAATAATCCTGGAGCAGCTGAAAATGGGGGTGTGGAGAGAAATCAGCAATATCACTGCTTTTTACATTTTTGGAAATTGAGAGGAGCTTAGACTCACCGCAGGATTTCTGCTACCTTCCCTGGGATCAGGGTTCCATGAGCTACATTTTCTGTCTCAGCTGGTGGATGTGTGGTGGTCAGAGACATTGGGATTCTTGGCTAAGGGAGAAGCACAAAACAACAGCTGTGAGTGAAACTGGTTTAATAATAATTTCTTTTAAAAACCTTCAGTTGGGCATGGCCAGGTCATTGCTCACTCACCCAAGAAGCCAAATGTGCAGTACAAGAACACTCTGGGCATTCCTTGGTTCCAAACTGCTGTTCTGAATGCAGAGATACCCATCAGGTGCCCTCTTGACCCGGGATATGGAGTGCTTGGGCAGTGGTGCCTGTCATAACTTTCTTACAGAATTAAGTGCAATTGTGCACATTTATTACATGCTTTGCCTTGGGGCTGTGTGTAATTTCTGTGGCTTGATATTTATCTTTGGTGTAATCAGTGTACAAATTTCATCTACTATGAAATTTTATAGAGGTGCCCATCTTGCTTTTTTTTTTCTTTAAAAATGTTTTTTCATCTTCATAAACTCAAAGCTACAGTAGAGCAGCTAAGTCTGTACCGGAATGCTTACAAGATCTTTCAATAAAGAAATGGCTTCTGGAAGCTGTGTCACTACAAATGGATTTTTCTTCCACCACCGCATTGCCAACAACCAGAAAAGCTGCAGCTTCTCCAGCTGTGTCACATCTGCCCTGTCAGCCCTGGGCCTCATTCTTGCCATAAAAAGTTTCTGATAACCAAGGCTCTGGCTACAAAGACGCTGTCCCAGTGATAACCAGTGCAAAGGACCTCCTGTGCAAAGGACCTCTGGGCTGTGCTGCACCAGGATGTAATGTTCCAACGTGCTATTTCTGTCTGCCTGGGTGGCTGTCATGGTGAGCAATGCCAGCCTGTGAACCGGGGCAAAGAAACAAACTGGGCCTCTGCAGGAATAGTTTTGCTGCTGCATGAATTCAAAGCTGCTCTGTTACACTTGAAGAAACTATAAGGAAAAAGTAAGAGCCAAGGGTTTTAACTCAGAAGTAGCCCTGAGATCACTGGTATTTTTAGTTAATATAGCTTTTCACAGTTGCGCTCAAACCTATTTAACTCTCTCTCCCTTGAAGGCAGCAGCCTTGGCTTCAATGAGGCCTTAGTTCCCTACAGCTGAGCTCCAGCATTTCTTTTTAGGAGCAGAGTCCTTTTCTGCTCTCCTTTGTTGCCAATCCACATCTCAGCTCAGTTTGGAGCTGGATCGGCTCTTAGATATATGCACATATCCCATGGCAGTCTTGTAATCACTGCTCACATGGGTAAATTTGGAGAGCTTGGGTGGTGTGCTGGAAAACCTGCTGGCCAGCTCTGCCCTTCCACAGGACTTGGGAAATGGCTCCCAGGTTTCTCTGCAGCTGGAGCATTTATCCCGCAATGAGCATCCCTGTGAGCTGCTGCTTTGTGAGAAGAGGGCAGCGAAGCACCAGCAGCACCGCACTGGTTTCCCTCCCCAGCTTCAAGACGGTCTGGGCAGAGCAGCCAAGCTTTTAGGAGAGCCTAAAGGTCTCAGAGGCTGTGCCTGGGAAGGGCTGGGAAGTCTTGCCAGAGCTCGTGTGAGCACCACGTCCCGCCCCTCACCCGCACGGGATTTTCATCGCCGCTGCTGGGCAGAGCCTCGCTACAGCTCCCACCCTTCAGCGCGGGCAGGGCAAACGCTCCCATCCAGACCCTGTCTGCTCCCGCCCGGCTCCGGCACCAGGAGCTCTGGTGCCCTCTGGTGCAGGCAGCATTACATTCGGGTTCATCCATGACCCAGTTTTGGTGCCATTCCTTACAAATTGCCCTTAATTGTGGGGCCAGGCCCACATTCATCGCAGTGCCACACAACTCTTCAGGAACACAGGGCAGGATTTGGTTCCCAGCACATCAGCCCTGTTCCTGGGCTTGCTTACCCCTCCCTCCTCCCTACACTTCACTACTGAATCAAATCAGTATCCTGACATGGAGAGAGATGTGTCCCACTGCCAGGAATTCCTTAAAAACATTCATGCATTTTATACAGAACACTGAGCCTGGAAAGCAGCTCAACGTCACCTTTCTGAACTGAGTTACTGCACCTGTCATGAAAGGCAATTTGGTCACAGCAAATTGGCCACAAATTTGGTTTTACCTGCTAAATGGAAAGCCTGGTCCCAGGCAGTGCTTCCACCTGGCAGGAACTGTGGTGGAGCCAGAGCTAAAGGCTGGGGCACTTGCAAGGAGCTGCCCTGTCACTCAACAAGTGCCTCATTTCACTCCAAAACTGGCTGCTGGCCCAGCTGATGCCTGTTGGGATCTCCAGGGCTGGGACTGCACTTTCCCAGTAAAAAGGTCCATCAGGATTGTGAGCTCCACCACTTCCCGATGCTTGTTCCTGGCACTGCTGCTCTCCACCACGCCTGAAAAATGAGCTTGAAATATTGCATATAGCAATTGACCCAGCTGCACAGAGCAGCCTGGAGCTGCTGTTAGCAGGAAATCTCTCCCCAAAAAGAGTGGGAGGCAATGCCAGACCCCACAGCCCAGAGTTGGTATGGTTACCTGGCTCAGTGCTTTGGTGACATTGATCCATGACCTGCTCCCTAGCAGCTGAAGGACACTCAGGCTGCAGCTGTCATATGTCTGCAGCTGCTGAGAACAGTAACTCCCCCAAAACTGTTGAAGAGAAAGTGTTTTTGTTTTTTTTTTTCAGTGTGTGAAAAGATTTAAAATGTGGAAATGGCCAAGTGTGAAATACTTGAACCTATGAAAAATGGACATTACCACCCTATATAACCAAGACATGGCTAAGCAAGGGACCACGTGGGACATTGCGGACACTTAAGTGTGGTGGGCTCAGTGACCAATGACCTGGGGGCACAGGGGTGGTTAAAGGGCAGCAACCTGTAAGGGGGTGAGGGACAAATAACTGGGGTGGGCAGTGTCAGCTGGCCAGTGGGGGAGGCAATCTGACGTAGACTGGCAGTGGTGCTGCAGAGCATCATGTCTTCTCTTTCACAAAGTCTTCTCTGTCAGCCTAGGTGGGAAAACCTCTATGGTATCAAGGGATTCCACATTCTGCTGAATTCACACTCTACAATTTAAAGCAAAAAAGGACAAACTAATGCACATGATTTCATGCTGCACCAACATGGATGGGCATACTCACACTCAGAAAGCAAAAATGTGACCAGTAATAGGAACTTACTTCTCATGGATGACACAGAAAAATGTTACTCATTAGCTACTGCTCCCGAGTTAAAAACGTTTATTCAACTGCAAATGATTTGCCTTTCCAACAAATGCGAACCAGCTTTTTGGTGGTAAATAGCAGGTATTTATTTGAAATGAAAAAAAAATACTTCAGTACCTGAACTATTGCATTTAATCATGTATTGTTGTAATTGTGTTACTCTACCTTTTTGCATTGGAGACAAATATACAATGAACATTCAGATATCACAGATTGCACACTAGATAGTAAATCGTCAGGCCTTTTATGTAACCACCAAAAAACAGATATTGGATTCTGCAATATAGTACAAAATTCCACACTCCAGTCTTAGCCAGTTATCTTCAATTTACTCCTGATGCTGTACAAATAAATGGCCATTTAACTAGGGCTTACAAGTTAATAACAGGACAAAAAAAATATACATTGCACTGACACAAAAAGTCAGCTGTGTTAATAGTCATGCAACAAGTAACCAAACTTGCTGAAATTAAAAATACTTTCTAAAAACAGTTTTAACTGCATAAGTATTTTATACACAGTTCATTTACCGAAACAAAAGGAGTCTTTAAATGATACAAAGCAAATATAAGTTTCTACCAATTTTATACATAAGAAAGTGCAAAATAACTTATCTAAAGTGTTTTGCTATTGAACTGATGAATGTTGGCTGGAGGCAGCCAACCCCTCTCAAAAGCATGACATTACAGTTGCACACTACACACGAATGTTAGGAGTACATGGATAAGTTTACTACAAAGAACAAGGCAGGAGAAGACATGTGAGGTACTTGCAGAGAATACAGTCTACTAATGTTAGTGTAAATGAGTATATTTTTGCTCAACAGATTTTTACATGGAAAACAAAGCAAGTATTTGCATTAGAAGCTCGAATGAAATGGAAAAAAATCCCACTCCCACGTGAACACCACAGTTGCCCACAGCACCAGCTGCCAGAGGGAATATGAGCAGGTGTGTTTGTCCCCCTCCGCCTCCAACAAGCAAAAACGTGTTTTTTTGGGAACAGCATTAAGTCAGAGGGCTGTGGTGGTTTGCTTGCAAAATGTAAACTGGGCCTACCTGCACACTGCAGAATTTGTAAGGAATGAGGATTTCCTTGGCGCGCTGCCAGCGCCGCAGGCGCAGAACAACACCCGTGCGACACAACTGCAGCCGACAGCGCCGTCCTCGGGAGCCGCAGCTTGGCCCCGGCCTGGCCTCAGGGCTGGACCCCATCAGTGCTGCTGTCACAGCCTTGCTTTTATTAGGGCTTAACCACGTGGCTGTACAAGCTGCAGTCCACAGAAAAGAAGGCTTCCTTAAATTTGGGGATGATTTGGAAATCTGGAGGCAAGGGGAGAAAAACTGTGGACTCAAAGGCATTTAGAGTTGTTAAAACAGCCTTTTCTTCAAACAGAAAACGTTAAGGCCACTAGCCTGTCTTCTGAACTATGCTGGTTTTGCATCATTTTGGGAAGGGTGAAGGCAACGTTAGAGAGAACGGCTGAACACAGAAATTCCAGTGCTCTGCACATGCTTACCGAGGACCTCTTCCTGTTTTTAGGGTCAAATCTGCCAGGTAGCCAGTAGTCAGTGTGGCTACTTGACCATCGCTCTTTGGATCCAAAATTTGGGTCAACTAAGCTCAACAAACCTGCATTTCCTCAACAGTGTGCAAGGGCTCTAGAAAAGCCTTTCTGTTCATTTGGGGACCTAGTATACATACCAAAACAGGAATATATTTCATTTTACAGACCAGCACATATATAATAAACAAACAAGTATCAAAATACATATTTAACCTTCAGTGCATAAACATGTGATACCAGGGTAAATAGCAAGTGGTCAGAATTAACAAATTATTCACTGCTAAAAGCTCAAATCAAGAGAAGACAGGGGTGCCCCCATAGCGCCAGGGACCCTCTGGAAGGAGCTCACCCCAACAGAGAGGGCCTGGAATTTCTGATGGTGCAATTCCAACAATGCTGGTTTTAAGGATTTGCTGTCCCAGGGCCAGAGCCTGCCCAAGTCATTCCAAGTGAAGGATAATCTCATCCCATTGAGTGACAACATTCACTCAAGTACTGCCAGAGCCACCTGTCTTCTGTTGGTCTGGGTCATATCCTTACCTCTATTTAAAAGAATCCATTGTGAATATGCCTAGTTCTAGATCAGTTTGTCACCCATTTACAAAATATATACACATATGTTAAAAAGCAAAAACAAACGGACCACCAGCCTGCCTGCTGCCCTCCCTCTACCCAAACAAAAACCCACTGGTAAGACCTCATGCAGAAATTAAGTCCATGGGCCTATTCCAATGCACGTGCTCCAATCCCAGCAGATATCAGTGTCTCTACTTCATCCCACATGTAGTGCAA